GTGGCAAGGCATCCCATGGGCCCGAGTCCTCACGTGCACTTCAGAGCCACAGACCCGGCTTCCCATCCTAGCTCTGCTACTCCTGGGAGCCCGTAACCTTGGGCAGAAGTAGCCGAACGTGGTAGCGCCTTGGCTTCTTCCCCAGTAACGTGGGGGCAGAGTTTCTCCCTCCCCGGGTGTCGGAACGACCAAAAGGCAAAGTATGTGCAGTGGACGTTTGAACAACATGGGGTGAACTGCGCGGGTGCGCTCATTCGCAGATCTTTTCCTACACGGATTAGGGCTATGAATGTATTTTTCTCTTCCCTGTGATTTTCTTAACGCTTCTTCTCGTTGGCTTTATCATAAGAGTATAGCACATAATACATATAACATGCAGAATACGTGTTAACTGACTGTTGATGTTCTAGGTAAGGCTTCGGGTCAACAGTCGGCTGTTAGTAATTAAGTTCTCGGGGAGTCGAAAGTTATACGTGGATTATCGACTGTGCGGGGGTCGGTGCCCCTAACCCCCGCGTTGTTCAAGGGTCACCTGTACACTCCTTAGCCCGCGCAATGATGAAATGAGCCAGTGTATATATGCCACTTCACAGAGGCGTTCGATAAATAGTTTGGGGTCTAGGGGGGAATGCTTTTTGTTGAAATAACCCAGAAAACTCAAATCTTTAAATAGTCACGCTGACCGCCATCTATGCAAAGAACTTGCTTTTATAACCGTGTGGCAGTTGTGAGCATGTTTTCTCACCCGGGCAGTAGGGACAGCTGTTATATATGCTCAGAGACCTCAGCTGCGAACAGATGTGGAGCAGCTTGGCAAGCGTAGGTGGTAGAAACAGTGGGAAGGCACTGTGTGACCTCGGGCAGGTCACTTTACCTCTCTGTTCCTTAGTTTCCCCATCTGTAAAATGGGATGCTGAGATTCTGAACTAAATTAGTCGCGTCTCCCAGGCACACTGCCCGGCTGTTAGTTCTGAGTTGGTCCCAACTTCCAGACCACTTGGAAATTTTTAGTTGTTGGTTTTTAGTCTATTTACCTGTACATTTGTTGTGTTCTCCATAGTATCCAAGTGGGAGGGACACTTATTACCTCCTCTGACTCGGTGTCCCTCAGGGGACCTGGGGCTTCCTAGGCAGAAGATGGGGGTGAATGATGCTGAGTCCCAGATAACGCCATGGAAGCTTAGGGACGTTATTGTCAGTGATTTACTTAGTCTTTACCTGATTAATCAACAAATGTAGGGGGCGCCTGGGTGGCTCAGTCAGCTAGGCGTCCAACTCTTTGTTTCGGCTCAGGTCATATCTCCCGGTTTTAGGAGTTTGAGACTCGTGTCCGTCTCTGTGCTGGCAACGCAGAGCTCGCTTGGGGTCGTCTCTGTCCCTCCCTCTCTTTCTGCCTCTCCTCCAATTGCACTATCTCTGTCTCTCTCAAATAAATAAATAAAATAAAATAAATGTAATGACGTTCATTGTAGAAAAAGTTTAAGGTGCAGACAAATCTGAAAAGTAGGTTTTATTTATTTATTTTTCAAAATTTATTACTTTTTTTAATTTTTGAGAGAGACAGAGTGCAAGTGGGGAAGGGGCGGAGGGTGAGGGAGACACCGCATCTGAAGCAGGCTCCAGACCCTGAGCCGTCGGCACAGAGCCCGACACGGGGCTCAAACTCACGGACAGTGAGCTCGTGAACCTGAGCTGAAGTCGGATGCTTAACAGGCGGAGCCACCCAGGCGCCCCTGAAAAGCAGGTTTTCAAATGAAACCCACAGCCCTACAGTCCAGCCCCGGGATGAAGATATTGACCTGTTTCCCTTTGGCCGGTTTATTCTTGACATAGCTGATGTTCTTACTCAAGTTACACGTGGCGTCCCATGGCGTTGATAAGGCAACAGTTGAGCGGTTGCGGCTAGCCCTACCCTATAACCAGATCAAACGATGCTCACGATAATTGCTGTTTCTTGCCTGGAGAGGGCAGAGTGGAGGGAAAAGTATAGGCAGTGAGTGATATATCTGTACGTAACATACCAAAGAGAGGAGGCCTATAATATATACCTGGGGGAAAGGAAGGGCTTTTAATGTCCTTTCCAATATATTGCTAGAGTATTTAAATTTTTTTTTTACATTAAGCAGATACCTACATACATATTCTCACATACACACATTAACATACATGTACATTCCCACGCACACACTGATGCACATCCTTAGTTGAGAACTAATGATTCAGGCTCCCCCTAACCAGGTTAGCTTTGCCACATTCACATCCTCTTTGTTTTGTGGTTTATCTTGTTCTCTTTGCAACCAACGTTCCATGAAGTATTCTTTTTTTAAAAAAGTTTATTTCTTTTGAGAGAGAGCACAAGCAGGGGAGGAGCAGAGAGAGAGAGAATCCCAAGCAGGTTCCGCACTGTCAGTGTGGAGCCCGATTTGGGGCTCAAACCCATGAACTGTGAGATCATGACGGCCGAAACCAAAAGTTGGACGCTTAACCGACTGAACCACCCAGGCACCCCCCATTAAGTATTCTTTTGTGTTTGTCTAGTTACGTCTTTCTGAAATGCGCTAAGACAACTCATCTCCCCTGATAAGTTTCTTTACCGTATGGACAAGTTAAGCAAGAACTGTATTTCCTTGTCTTTGGGGTTTTTTCTTTCCCCTTATATAATACTGTATGTAATAATATTTCATTTAGGGATTAACTAAAAACAGTTTTGTACTTTTTCTTGGATGCCTTCCTATTGAAGTTTAACATACAGAAAAGGGTACAAATCATAAATGTACAACCTGGTGAATTTTCATAGTGAATTCCTAAGTATAACCAGCATTCAGATAGAAAAAAATGAATGTTCCCAGCTTCTCCTTGCCAGAGATAACCGACCACTAGCCTGAGTTTCAACAGTTTGGATTAGTTTCATCTATTCTGGAATTTTGTGTAAATGCAGTCATACTGCATATACAAAAAGTATACTTTTTTTTGTTTCTTTACTCAACTTATCTTTTTTTCTTTAAAGTTTTTATTTTTAAGTAATCTTTATATCCAACGTGGGGCTAGAACTCACAACCCCAAGATCATGAGTCACGTGCTCTTCTGACTGAGCCAGCCGCCAGGCACCCCAACTTGTCTTTCTTTTTAATATAACAGTGACCTCCCTCCTCAATTTTATTAAAGATTTCATAAAAAAAAGATTTCATGATATGTTAAAGAATTATATGTCTGTGTATATATATATTTTAATATAGCAGCTTTATTAAATATGATTCACATACTACATTATTCCTCCATCGAATATGTACAATTCACCGCTTTTTGGAATATTAGTACAGTTGTGTAACCATCATTATATTTTATTTTATTTATTTATTTATTTATTTATTTATTATTAAAAAAATTTTTTTTAATGTTTATTCATTTTGAGAGACAGAGAGAGACAGAGCACGAATGGGGGAGCAGCAGAGAGAGAGGGAGATACAGAATCCAAAGCAGGCTCCAGGCTCTGAGCTGTCAGCAGAGCCCGAACCCATGGCCCATGGGATCATGACCTAAGCTGAAGTCAGATACTTAACTGACTTGAGCCACCCAGGCGCCCCACTATTTACTTTTTTTAAATGTTTATTTATTTTGAGAGAGAGAGGGAGAGAGGAGGGACAGAGAGAAAGGGAGAGAGAGAATCTTAAGCTGGTTCCATGACCGGTATGGAGCCTGATATGGGGCTTGATCCTGTGACTGTGAGATCACAACCTGAGCTGATATTGAGAGTCAGACTCTTAACTGACTGAGCCATCCAGGCACCCCTAAATATATTTTAGAACATTTTCGCCATCACCACCTACCAAAAAAACTTATTAGCAATCATTCCCCATTTTCCCTCAACCAAACACCCTCCCCATCCTAGGCAACCATTAATCTACTTTCTGTCTCTATGTATCTGCCCATTCTGGATGTTTCATATAAATGGAATCACGCAATGTGAGGTCTTTTGTGACTGGTGTCTTTGACTCAGTATCATGTTGTCAAGGTTCATCCATGTGGGAACTTGTATCAGTACTTCATTTCTTTTTGTGGCTAAATACTATTCCATTACATATTTGGTTTTTAATGCAGAAAAACATCCTTGTGGAATATGGACTCCGAAGAATCACATTCCTGATTGCCCAAGAGGTCAGTGTGATTCTCAGTGCATCTGTGTGAGTCTTTAACATTCCTTAAGAGTCGGTGCCGTTGATTTGATGTTTACTTAGTAGATGGGGGTTGAAGAGAGCAATCACTAGAAAAGAGAAGGTTTTCAAAGGATTCATTCTGGAAACAGATGGGGTTATGGCTTTAAAAAAAAAATCACAAAACAAGTATTTGTATGAGTCTTACTTGATTTCATTGTCTCGTCTATGGATTTCTTTTGCAGAAAGAATTTCCGAAGTTTTTCACATTCAGAGCAAGAGATGAGGTATGATGTAAAGAAAGCAGTGATACTGTTCTTGCCTCCCTGGCATCTTTGATATTCGGGAAGAGTATAGTCCCCAGTCCTTGAGGTAACCTCCGTTTTCGAGAACGGACATGTAACTTTTGTGTAAACTCCAGCCTTCCTCTGGGATTGTGTTTCTCTGTGGAGCTGAGATCCCATGCGTCCTGCCCTTTCAGCCTTCACTCTGGTTTCTCCCTCATCTGGATCACTTTTGTCCTCAGATGGCTCTCCCAACCTCTTTTTCTTACGTTCTTGCAGACCGGCTGCCTGTTTTTATAAACGGAGTTTGGCTGGAACACAGCCACACCCATCTGATCTCCTGTCTTCTGCTGTGGCTTTCTTGTGCCAGTGGCAGAGATCACGTGGCTCTGACCGACCGTGTGGCCCACCAGCCTCATATATTCCCTCTCTGGCCCTTTAAGTAAAGCTTTTGCTCATCCCTGTTCTAGAACAGGCAGGCTTACTCCCATCACAAACTCCGGACTCCATCCTGCTTGGCGTGCTGTGGTTTAATTTATCCAAAGCCTTCCATTGCTGCGTAAGACCCATCCTTTCTTTCGGGTCTTCATCTTCTCCTCTGGTTCGGTCTCCAGCACTGTCTGTCGCTTCCTTTCGGGGACCAGTTTCCACAGAGAAACCAGCCTTTAGTGACTTCCTGAGAGGTACCCTGTGCTGTGACAGAGAAGAGGCCGTGCTGGCAGGCGCTGGGGACCGGGCAGGCTCACCTGGGAGCTGAGAGGCTCGTGCCGGCACTCAGGTCTTACAGTGCTCGTGGCTCTTGTCTGGACCTTCCCAAACCCTGAGTCTCTTGAGCCCTAGAGCTGCCCACGGGTGACACCGTGAAGGCTACATCCCCTGAGTGCTAAGCTGACGAACACCAGGGGGCTGCAGGACAGGGCGCCCACCAGGCAGGCGTGCGGCCCCAGTGTCAAATTCAGCGTCTGTCTGTGTGTCTGTCCGTCTTCGCTCTCTGGCCGGCCCGCAGTTTGCAGAAGATCGCATTTACCGTCACCTGGAACCCGCCCTGGCCTTCCAGCTGGAGCTCAGCCGGATGCGCAGCTTCGATCTGACGGCCGTGCCCTGCGCCAACCACAAGATGCATCTGTACCTGGGCGCCGCCAAAGTGAAAGAAGGCGCGGAGGTGACAGACCACAGATTCTTCATCCGCGCCATCATCAGGCACTCGGACCTCATTACGAAGGTAAAACGTCGTGGAGTGTTTCTTTCTCCCCCTGAACCCGTCCCTCGCGCGCTGGCCTTCCCTTCGCTCTGTCCGCGTGAAGGGAATTGAGCAGGTAGCAGAGTCCTGGCGTACTCAGGGAGTTGCTTGTATGTGCCTACTGAGTGCGTGATCATTTTCCAACACAGCCAGAAAAGTCATCTGTGATTCTGTTGCGAGCTTTTCAAATCACACTAGAAAGTATGGTTTTTGATTAAAAATTTTTTTTCATGTTTATTTGTTTACTTTCTGAGAGAGAAAGAGAGCGAGCTGGGGAGGGGCAGAGAGAAAGAGTGAGAGAGAAATCCCAAGCAGGCTCTGTGCTGTCAGCTCGGGGCCCGACGTGGGGCACAGACTCACGAACCATGAGATCGTGACCTGAGCCAAAACCAAGAGTTGGACACTTAACTGACTGAGCCAGCCAGGCACCCCTGAAAACTACTTAGAAAAAAATTTTTTAATGTTTATTTTTGAGAGAGAGAGAGAGTGTGAGAGCGTGGGAGCATGAGCAGGGGAGGGGCAGAGAGAGAGGGAGACACAGAATCCGAAGCAGGCTCCAGGCTCTGAGCTGTCAGCACAGAGCCCGACGCGGGGCTCGAACTCAAGGAACTGTGAGATCATGACCTGAGTTGCAGGTGTAGTGTCGTGGGCGGGGCTCCCGGTGGACCAACCGTTTGAATACTGTTGCTCTTTTACTGGTCAGGGCCTCGTAGACCTCATCTCCCGTGTTGATGAAGATGGTATGCCTCATGCTCTGTCTTTGCCTGGATGTACCGTGTGTGTGGTTTGGTTTTGTTTTGTTTTTTCCTAATCCTCTATTGATCGATGTTAAGCTAATGTCAGTTTTTTGCTGCCTCAGTCAACTAGCTACCTCCAGGGGTCTTATTATTTTCAGGTACAGTAAGGCTGATAGCTCAGGAAGCAGTTACCACTGAAAAGATTGTCACTCTCAGATCCCAAGAGTGGGGGCACACCTTACACAGGGAGCCACATGGGGAAGCACCAGGGGCGGCCGAGAGGCCGGGGAGGAGGGGGAAACGTGGATAAGAACCTTTGTGGTGGTTTCTGCAGGAAGGATCAGGTGCGGCAGGGTAGGCCAGCTTGGGTTTGGCTTGTTTGAATAATCTCAGGAGGTTCTGGAACTGAGGGGCTGTCTCTAGTTGTCCGGCACCTGGGCCTGGGGTGATTAGGGCAGGTGGACAGTGACTTGGAACGCGAGAGCCCCGAAGAGGAAGTGTGTGCTCTGAAAATTGGTTGGTTTGCATTTGCAAAGTGCACTCACTTTGGGGTGAGTCATTGACTGTCTCTCGGAATCGGTAACCCTGGAAGCGGAGGTCCCTCCGGGGTCAGGGAGGCCCCCAGTGGTCAGAGCATCACACTACAGAAGATAGAAGGCAGGGTCAGGACGCTGGACAGCCTTTGACGTGCCTTCACCTTCAGAGGCAGGGCTCGGCGGCGTATACTCGCTGGGCATACTTTTCGGGGGAGGGGAAATGTTTTCCTCTCTCCTTGTGTGTCTGAGGCCCCGTTTCCAGCCCTGCGCCCCTTGCCTTAGCGTCTGTCCCTCCCGCTTTGGCAGGAAGCCTCCTTTGAGTACCTGCAGAACGAGGGTGAGCGTCTGCTCCTGGAAGCCATGGATGAGCTGGAGGTGGCGTTCAACAACACCAGTGTGCGCACCGACTGCAACCACATCTTCCTGAACTTCGTGCCCACCGTCATCATGGACCCCTTCAAGGTCTCGCCTCTGGGGAGGCAGTGGGTTCAACTTTCCCTGGGCCTGTGGCTGCAGGTGGACAACCTCCTATCCATGAAGTTCCAGAGCCATGTTTTTGCCACCCTCTTAGGGTTATCCCTGTTCTGATGTTCACCCTTTCCCGGGCAGCATGCTTCACTCTTGGGATGACGCAAATGCCCCAAATTTCATCCCTGGTTCCTGGCTCCTTGGGCTCTTGGGGACCGTGTATAGGAGGGAAGGGGATAGAGAACCATTCTCCCGTGGCTGGTTCTTCATGAACAGGCAGGGTTGGTGCTGGTGATTCTGGGATGAAAGAAGTCCTGGGACGTCAGCATGGCATCTGTGGGGTGCAGAGGGCCCATGCTGATGCCCCGTCTCCATCAACCCACATAGTTCCCAGGAAAAGAAAATGCAAAGGCTCGAGCTACACGGTGCAGATAAAGATTGATATAATGTAGGCACACTAGCTCTGTTACTTGCCAGTCTCAGTTTCCTCATCTGTCAGTGGGGCATAAAAATGCCGCCCTCTTGGAGTAATTATGAGATGAAATGAGATCATGCTCTTCTTGTACTTAGCACGTGGCTATTTGTGGGTCCGTACTGTGTCACAGGTGTTTTGCCTTCAGTGTCCCTCATCGTTCCGTTGTTATCACAACTATTTATAAATAGCTAGACCTGTATATTACCAGTGTGCCTGGATTGGGGCCTGAGAGTGGAATTGCTGTGATTTGGGGGCAGATCGAGGAGTCCGTGCGTTCCATGGTTATGCGCTACGGCAGCCGGCTGTGGAAACTCCGCGTGCTGCAGGCTGAGGTCAAGATCAACATCCGCGAGACCACCACCGGCAGTGCTGTTCCCATCCGCCTGTTCATCACCAACGAATCGGGCTACTACCTGGACATCAGCCTCTACAAAGAAGTCACCGACCCCAGATCTGGAAACGTAAGGCTGGGCGGGCCCACAGAGACCCACCTCAAAGTGCAGTCGGGGTCCGTCCGCTCAAGAGAGCAAGACACAGACTGAAATGATGTTTGGTGGCCATCTGCTGGATTGGGGTGGCTGCTTTGAGTTTACGGTAGACGTGTCAGCTTCTGCATGCCAGTTGTTCATTCCTCTGGGAAGGAGAATCAATCCAAAGTTTGATCCATTCAAGGACCGATATTTGGGATAAGATGCAGAGTGCCATGGGTCACCGTCGTGCAGCTCCCATAAGGCTGGCTCCCTTAGGGCAATGGGTATTTTCCCCAGCCGTGTTTTAGAACAGATCTTTGTAAACCAAATCAAATATCCCATTGACTTCCATTACATCTATAACTTTTTATTTTTAAGCGATTAAAGAGTATCAGGAGGTTGGAAAAATAGTAGAGGGGAAAACATTACTGCAGAGAGTTCCCAAGCACCCTTGACCCGACCTCCCCCAATGATAGCACTGTAAACAATGGGACCTTGTCATGACAGGCAGTTGACGTTGGTACGGTGCTAATAACACAGATGTGGACTCTATTCAGATTTCACCAGTTTTTGCGCGTGTGTAAAGCCCTATGATAGTCACATTTTTGGAGCTACGCTCCCATACCTGTCACTGTCCCTTCTCGTGCTGGTTGCCCACAGTGGCAGAGAAAAGATTAGCTCTCTGGGGCATGCGCTTTGTCACGTGATGTGATGTGCTTTGCTTCTTTCCGCCGCCTTTTCGTTGAGGAGGATGGGAGTAAATTGGACGGGAGCGTGGCTCTCTGGGAGTCCCCTCCTTCACTCTGTTTCTCTTTCTGTCTTCCCAGATCATGTTTCACTCCTTTGGCAACAAACAGGGCCCCCAGCACGGGATGCTGATCAACACTCCCTACGTCACCAAGGATCTGCTTCAGGCCAAGCGATTCCAGGCCCAGTCCCTGGGCACCACCTACGTGTATGACTTCCCGGAGATGTTCAGGCAGGCAAGTCCTGTGGCTTTCCTGGGGCACCACCCCGGGTCCCCCCTGGGATTCCACCCGCCCCACACCCCTCCTCGTCCTTAGTTACTCTCCTGAAGACCCCAGCCTAAAGAACTCCGTATTGGGAATGCCTTCCTAGCGTCTTGTCTAAAATGAACCTACTTTCCTCCTCATGGTAGAAAGTCACGTAATCCAGAAGCTTAGGAAAATAAAGGAGCGTGGAAAAAAAGAAAAAAGTGACTCATGGTTCCGTGTCCTAAAGACACATTGCTTAATAATTTTGGTGTGTTTCCTCCTGGCCTTTTGAAAGCTTGTTTATTAAGAGCTCATTTGTGAAGGTCTGTACCTGCCACATTCCAGGCACCATGCTATGGGTGGGTCGACCCTGAGGAAGAGGGTGGAGTCACTAGCTTTAAGGAACTTTTAGTCTACTTTTTAAAAACAGTGTCTTGTTGTGTTTTCCTAGTGATTGAAGTGTTCATTGGAAAATACAGGAAAACGGGTCTCAGCAAATAAAATTCCACCCTAATGGAATCCATTCACTGTTGTCAGTGCAGTATCATTCTTTTATTTACTTTTGAAGGAAACAGAGACAGAGCATGAGCAGGGGAGGGGCAGATAAAGAGGGAGACACAGAATCGGAAGCAGGCTCCAGGCCCCGAGCTGTCAGCACAGAGCCCGATGCGGGGCTTGAACTCACAAACTGCGAGATCATGACCCGAGCCGAAGTTGGTCACTTAACTGACTGAGCTGCCCAGGCGCCCCCATCCCCTTTCTTTTAGATAAAGAGACAGAATAGTATGGACAACATTCATGCCCAAATGAATAATTCAGTATAATTCCAGAGGGTTTTTTTTGGTGAAACTGCAAAATTCGTATGGAAAAGCAAAAGCTGTGAATAGCAAAAACAAAGAACTAAAGGCAAGAGGACTTGTCTTAACAAACGTCATCACTTGTTTTAAAGTAGCAGTACTTTTTTCGGTGTGCTGTTGCAATAGAGCCAGACAAGTAGACCAGTGGAACAGCATAGAGCCTAAAATCAGACCCACTCACAAACAGCCTTGACCGAAGGCAGAGGTGGGATTGTGAATCAAGGGAGTGAACGTCACCGAAAGGTACAGTAGTTCCCTCTTACCCGTGGCTTCGTTTTCCACGGTTTCAGTTACCTGTGGTCAACGGCAGTCTGGAACCAGAGGTTCCTCCTTCTGACGTGTGGTCAGAAGTTCAGTGTTAGCCTAACGCTATGTCACAGTACCTACATCAGGCATCTCACTTTAGCCCATCGTGTAGGCATGTTATCATCTCCTGCCATCACAGGAAGAAGGGTGAGTTTAGTACAATAAGACATTCTGGGAGAGAGAGAGAGAGACTGTGTTCACATAACTTTTATTATAGTGTATTGTTATAATTGTTCTTTTATTATTAATTTTACTGTGCCTATTTATAAATTAAACTTTATCATATGTATAGAAAAACAACGGCATATATAGGGTTCAGTACTGTCAGGGGTTTCACGCATCCGCTGGGTATCTTGGCGCATATCCTGCATGGGTAAAGGAGGATTTATCTAATTGGAAAAAGTAAGTTTTGATTTCTACCTTATCTAGCACACAGAAATAAATTTCAAGGGGATTAAAGCTACTTGGAGTCAGTTTAAAGCATAAGCTGTACAGGAAAAGACCCATAAACTTGACTATGTTAAAATTTTGAAGTTCTTGATGCAAAAAAGGAAAGATGAGTCCCAGCTTGGAAGAATATGTTTCAATGCCTATTACCAGCAAGGGATTACAACAGATTATCTAAAGAGCACGTATAAATCAGTTAGAAAAAAAAAAAAAAAAAAAAAAAAAAACAGGGAAAACTATAAAAAATATGGACGGGAATTACAAACAGGAGGAAATTGGCAAAAAAGAAACTCCCATGGTCGATAAGTGTATTCAGAGGCTCTCCTTAATAATCAGTAGAGAACAGATTAATACCGCAGTATAATTTCACACCCAGCAGACAGGTGAACGTTAAAATATTTGACAAAACAGGTGTTGGCAAGTGCATGGAACAAAGGAATTCTTATGCCTTCTTACTGGACCTGTAAAGGGTCTTTAAAAATGAGAGAGCAGAGGGCGCCTGGGTGGCTCAGTTGGTTAAGTGTCCGACTTTGGCTCAGGTCATGATCTCACCGTTGGTGAGTTCGAGCACTGT